AAAGTCCCCTCCGGGGACTATTGGTACATGTGTGTAACAAATAAAAATTCTCAAAATTTCTATTTTTCCTACTAAAAATTCAGACACCTCATACAATACCCTGTAAAAACAGTAATTTGTGGGCACATGCCCTTTTCTTTGGTTTCAAACATTCCTAAAGGCCTCTGCCTTGTGGCAACATGCACTATCAGTGGTACAGCAGCTTCCCAATAAACCCCCGAGGCTGAAAAAGTTAATGTTCGCTCTATGTACTGCCAGGCATGAAAGATTTCAGGTTATAAGGAGAGTCCTCTGTATTTTCTTTTAAATTTTTCTTTTAAAAATCGTTAAACTTTGCTTTCCATGTTTGGTCTCTAATACATCTAGAATTTATATTTACGTATGTATGAGTCACGTATGTATGAGTCTTCTTTTTCCATTATCTTAAGGTGGTCCATCCATTTACTTTTAACTTATATGAGTCTTTATATTTAAAATGGGTTTCCTGTATGAGCCCTGGTGGTGCAGTGGTTAAGCACTCGACTGTTAACTGAAAGGTCAGTGGTTTGAACCCACCAGTCACTCCGCAGGAGAAAGATGTGGCAATCTGCTTCTGTAAAGATTTGTAGCCTGGAAAACCCCATGGGGCAGTTCTACTCTGCCCTGTAGGGTCACTATGAGTCAGAATCAACTTGACGGCAATGGGTTTCCTCTACTCAACATATACTTGTGTCCTTTTTTCCTTTATATAAAGCCAGTTGGTCAGCACCATTTATTACCATACCGTACCATTGCTATCGAGTCGATTCCAACTCATAGTGCCGTATAAGACAGAGAACTGCGCCATAGGTTTCCCAGGCTGTAAATCTTTACAAAACAGACTGCCACATCTTTCTCCTGCGGAGCGGCTAGTGAGTTCAAACTGCTGACCTTTTGGTTAGCAGCCTAGGACTTTAACCACTGCACCACTAGGGCTTCTTAACATTTATTAAATAAACTTTTTCCCCCTACTGATTTGTAATGTCACTTTGGTCATATACTGAGATTCCATATAGGTGTGTTTCCTGGGTTCACATTTCTGTTCTGTTGATCTGTTTATTTGTTTAATCACTTTAGCTTTATACTAAATCTTTTTGGCTGATAAGGCAATTTCTCCCTCATTGTTCTACTTTAAAACTGTCTTGATTTTTTTTTTTTTGCACTATACTCGTCCAGATTAATTTTAGAATCATTTTTCTTAAAGTTTCACAGAAACTTTGTTGGATTTTTATTGGAATTGCACTAAACTTATAGATTAATTTTCAGGAAACTGACATTTCTAATGTATTGAGTCTTCTCCTTCATAAACATGATATACCTCTGTCTGTGTTGAGTTCTTTTATGTTGTCTGGTAAGTTTTATAATTTTATCTATACAAATCTTACTCTTGTTATGTAAGATTTATTCCTAAGAATCTTATGTTTTTTGCTGCTATTGTTTTTTTATTCTTTCTTTGTTTTGTTTATAGGAATATTTTCTTTTTGTATAATAATTTTCATCTAGCAACAATGATGAACTCTTATTGGTTCTATCCGTTTTTTTAATAGATTCTTTGTATTTTCTATAAAGATAGTTATATGAATATATCAATTTGAAACAAACTTTGAAACCCAATGTGGAGATGAATTTGCTACCTAAACCTCAGTTAAAGACATCTCACAGGGATTATTTTACAATTCACATATACTTGTTGAATAATCATTCAGCTATGCATTTCAAAAATGTTTTTTCACATTTTCTAGCTTCCAGGTGCAGCGCTAGGTGATAAGGATACGGTGATGCGCAAAAGAGGTGTGGTTCCTCCTCTTTGGAACTTACAGTTTAGGAAGAAAGGCAGACTTTAAACGATGATCACCCCTAACGAATAGATAACTATAAAATTTTTAAAAGCTTGTGAGAGAAAAATAAAGGACGATGAGAAATCGTAACATGGAGATCTAGTTTAGAATGGAAAGTGAGGGAGAGATTCTCTGCGGAAATAATACTTAAGCTAGGATCTCAAGATGGTTATAAATTAGCCAGACAGAGCATGTAGCATTATGAATATAACGCCTAGAAATTCTTTAGCTTTATTCTACTGAACACTTCAGATTCACACATTGCTTCGATAATTGAGTTTTGCTGCATGTGTCCCGATCATCCTTTTCTTCTCAATAGTTATTAACTACTACCTGTTGAAAAAAAGAAAGAAAGAAAAGAAGAAAGAGAGAGGGAGGAGGCAGGGTTGGGGAGAGAGAAAGGAATTTGGCCACTATTTAAGGCATAGCACTTCATTGATACTTTTAACCATTTCCGGTTTCTGCCAAGTCAATTCTGACTCATGGTGACCTCTTGTGAGTCAGACTAAAATTGTCATACGGTTTTCAATGGCCAATTTTTTGGAAGTAGATTGCCAGACCTTTCCTTCAAAGCGTCTCTGGGTGGACTCGAAATTCCAACCTTTTGGTTGACAGCTGAGTGCTTTAACTGCACCACCCAGGGACTCCTTACCCAGTACAGAAGCCAGAAAAAGTATTAGAAAGGGCAATATTTGGAGAGAAACTGGATGGCCAGCCGAAACCTTTCAGTGGGAACAGCAGCCTGGGATTATCCATTCTCAGGGCTCTCTGAGGGTCATAGCTGGCAGTTCACCTAGCAAAGAATCACAGCCACAATCAGCATGAATCGCCAACCAGAAGACAGCTAGACTAGTCTCAGCTGGGCAAAGGATCGTGTCTGAGGTTTGCTTTCTTCACCTGAAGGACTGTGGAGCACCTGACTTCTGCTGCACCAGGCTGGCTCATTCCAGCAGCCCCACAGAGTTAGTTGGAATATGGAATGTCATCTCTATTTTCATTCAGGAAGAAAGTACTTTAAAAAAAAAAAAAAAACTGCCCTGGCCTTCAAATACCTATACTGATTCCAAAAACAGAAAAGCATTCAGTAAAGGTGGCTCCTTTTAGCAAGAATTTGTGCAACTCAAGGCTAGGCTACCATTCCCAGCCTTAACCATCCACCACTTCTAATAAAAGCTGTGCTAAACCTGTCTAACTGGTTGAAATTACTTTCCAAAGGCCCTTCCAGATTCTTTATTGTTCAGGCAACCTAAAAATCGGTTGCCGTGCAGTTGATTCTAACTCATGGCAACCTCACGTGTGTCAGAGTAGAACTGTACTCCATAGGGTTTTCAATGGCTAGTTTTTTCAGAAGCAGATCTCCAGGCCTTTCTTTCAAGGTGCCTTTGGGCAGACTTGAACCTCCAACCTTTCAGTTAGCAGCTGAGCATGTTAACCATTTGCACAACCCAGAGACTCCTGTTCATACAGTTAGGATAAAACCTGCCTGTTATATCTAAACTTATGCTGATCTCTAAGGTAGTAAAAAGCAATTTTTATCATCCTCACAAAACATTTTAATCAACCAATTATTGAAAAATTACAGAAGACTGAATAAGACCAGAAATTTTTACTTATATAAAATAAAATATTCTTATTTTATGTAATTGGAGCAGCGATTGTCTTCATCTCTCTTAAGCCCCACACAGCACAACAGCTGGACTTGTGCTGAGGGTGGTTTATTTATCTGCAAGAAGCAAAGTAAATGAACAGGCAAACAAAGTCTACTCATAAATTTAGCAAGCCAAACGTTTTTTAAAGGCTGTTGAAATGTTTCATTCCAGGGTGCACACCCTTGATGCATGCGGTTTCTGGACGTCAAGTGGACACAGTGAAGCTGCTATTGAAGATGGGAGCCAATATCAACATGCAGGACGCTTATGGTCGCACAAGTTTATGCCTGGCAACCTACCTGGTACCAACGTGTGTCTGTCACAAGGGTTAAGGAGTGGGATGTGCTAAAAGTCTCTTTAAGGAGCTGCATGAGGGAAGTCTACCTGTAGACATCATAATGACCCAGCCTCTTGTGTGGCTCCCCACAGTAGAACCTTGTCCCTGGTTTTCCTAAGGCTCCCTGAAAAGGGGGTCAGTTTCACCAGAGGACTGCATTGTGAAGCCCACCACTCCCTGCTGCCATGTTCAAAGTCAGGTATTAAAAGAAAACGTAACAAAAGGGGCACATGGAAATTAAGTCTCGGTCACGCCAACTCATTAACAAATAACCTTATTGTAGATGTGTGGCCTTAGGCAAATCACTTCACTTCTTTGTGCTTCTTCCCTCATATATTTCACAAATATTATTAGTGAGAATATTGTTTACTTCACAACAAAGTTTATCACAATTGAAGGAAAAAGCGTATGTGGAATCGCCCAGCACAGAGGAAGTACCAAAATTATTTCTTGACTCTGAATATTGATCATGGGTTTCAGATATATTCAACAGTGTTTTGATTTTTTTCTGAAGAAAACCACATACACACACAGTTTCAGGAAGTATTGCAAAATGATAAAAGCTGTTTCAAACACGGCCCCACCAAAAGATATGTTTTTCGAAAACTATAAAACTTTGGCAACTCTAAAATTTGTTTAGTATGCCTTTCTTTTGGGTGTCTTGTTCATATTTTTTTTTTTCGCTTTTAATCAGAGAATTTGATGACTTAGACATTAACAACTAAAAACAGATTTAGTACATTAGTAAGCTATGAGTCAAGACCGACAATGCCAGAAAAACATTTGCTTCTCCTAAGACTTAGACATTATTGGTCAATTCTACAAAACCATAGTTAGTATTATAATCTATGTTTTTTTTTATTTTTATTGTGGTAAAATATATATAAAAAGAGTTTGCCATTTCGACCATTTTTAAGTGTACAATTCAGTAACGTTAATTATATTCACCATGTTGTCCGGACATCATCACTACTTTCAAAAGTTTTTCATCACCCTAAACAGAAACTCAGTACCCTTTCAGCAATAACTCCCATTATCTCTTTCCCCCAACCCCTGGTAACCACTAATAAACTTTTGCCTCTATGCATTTGCCTATTCTAGATATTTCATATCAGTGGGATCATATAATATTTGTCTACTGTATCTGACTTACTTCACCCAGCACAGTGTTTTCAAGGTTCATCCATTTAATAGTATGTATCAGAACTTCTTTTTCTTTACAGCTGAATAATATTCCACTGTATGTATATATCACATTTTGTTTATCCATTCATTTGTTGATGGACACTTAGGTTGTTTCCACCTTTGGCTATTGTGAATAATGCTGCAATGAACATTGGTGTACAAATACCTGTTTGAGTTCGTGCTTTCATGCCTCCTGGGTATATACCTGGGAGGGGAATTGCTGGGTCATGTGGTGATTATATATTTAACTTTTGGAGGGATCATCAAACTGTAAATGGCTACACCATTTTACATTCCCACCAGCAATGCACAAGTGTTCCACTTTCTCCACATTCCACCAACATTTGTCATTTTCCATTTTTCTGAGAATAGTCATCCTAGTGAGTGTGACGTGATATCTCATTGTGGCTTTTATTTGCATTTTCCTAATGACTAATGATGTTGAGCATCTTTTCATGTGCTTATTGGCAAGTTGTATATCTTTTTTGGAGAAATGTCTACTGAAGTCCTTTATCCATTTTTTAAAACTGAGTTATTTTTTTGTTGTTGAGTTGTAGAAGTTCTTTATATATTCTGGATATTAAACCTCTATCAGATCTATGGTTCCCAAATTTTTCTCCCAATCTGTGGGTTGGTCTCTTCCTTTGATGCACAAAAATTGTTTATTTTGATGAAGTACAATTTATCTATTTTTTCTTTGTTACTAGTGCTTTTGGTATCATATCTAAGAATCCATTGTCAAAAACAAGGCCTTAAAGCTTAACCACTGTGTTTTCTTCTGCCAGTTTTATGGTTTTAGTTCTTATATTTAAGTTCTTGATCCATTTTGAGTTAATTTTCATATATGGTGTGAGGTATGAGTTCAGCTTTATTCTTTTGCATGTGGAGATCCAGTTGACCCGGTACCATTTATTGAAGAGACTTTTCTTTCGCCATTGAATGGACTTGGCACATTTGTCAAAAATCAGTTGGTCACAGATGTATATGACCTGTGGATTTTGAAGTACCTTTGCTGATAGATTTTTTCCCAGACTTTTCAGGACCAAAAGATTATTTTCTTACCCTTATCTTTTTTCTTCTACTCCATACATTTCTAACATTCCGATTTTTACTGCTTCTGATATTGCCTTAGGGGAAAATTTTCAGTTATTTTTCTCATTTTACTGACTTAATGTAACATAATCTTGAGGTTTAATTATACACAAATGGAGGAGGGCAGGAAGCCTGCTTCTGAGCAAAACAGAGACTTATCATATTATTCTTCATAATAATAGTTTTACCTATTTATCAGTCTATCTATAATTGAGTGAGTTACCCAAGTGGTTCTGAATGAACGTAGGAGGAATTCTCCTCAATATGTGAGCAGGGTTGGACCAGTTACTTAAAGAAGTATGGAATAGAGAGTAGAGAGTAAGGGCTGGCCTGAAATTAAACCTGCCTTTTGAGATGGGAAATGACCCAGCTTTAAGTGCTGACCAAGAAGGGGACAAGCATGGAATATGGCAATATCAGTTCTCAATCTAAGGAATTAGCAGACAGCAGGAAGTTCACACAAGGTTTCTTCAGGAATCCTTAGGTGGGTAAATCACAGCATTGGAGAACCCTTGGAGGGTGCTGATGGTGCCCCCATATTCAGGTATTTGAACTGTTAGCATCAGAAAGATCATCAAGGTGACAGGATCCCAGCCACTGGAGTGAGGCTTAGATTAGGATTCTAGGTACTGGGAGGGGGACTGATTAGAATAAGCAAGACTTTATCCTTGTGGTATTAGAATAGACACTTGGAAACTAGGACCAAGGCCCATTTATCATAAAGGAGGCATAGAGTGGAGGTTAAAATTCAGGAATTACATAGGAATTGGACCATGACATCCAAGTCAGACCATTGACAAGAATGATGTGTAGCTAAGCCCGCAAACTGAGAGGCTAGAGATGGTTAATCATCTCTTATTATGTGCCATATATTGCCCAGGAACTGGTGTAGTCTGAGCATATAAGTAGAATACCACTGAGAGGCCCTAGAAATGGGGAGAGGGAGGCAGGATGCAGGGTCTAGAAATCAGTCTGCGTCTGACAACTATTCCATCATGGGTCTTCCAAAAAACTTGAGAATTCACACTTCAAGACCTTCAGCCATCTGTTGAGATGTCTAATTTGGGGGTGTGATCCTTAGCCACTTCAAGTCAAAGAAAATGTATTTTTAGCCAAATCAAAGATGAAAGGGAAAGAAAACTAGAGAAAGTTTTTTAGAATATGTTATGTGGGGTCGTGTTATATAATGATGTGGTTGCTCTTATATTTCAGGGTTGGCTCGAAGGGTGTGTGAGTCTGCTCAGAAATGGTGCCAAGCACAATATCCCTGATAAAAATGGTCGTCTGCCACTGCATGCTTCTACTGCTGAGCCCGATGTGAGGTAAGTAACCAGGTTGGCACGGCACTCAGGTTGGCAAGGACCCAACTTATATTAGAGGGTCATTCACTCCATCCCCCTGTGGCTAATAAAAATAAAACCCATCCATTTCTTTGAAGTTGCAGCAGAAAAGATCACATCTAAGTAAATCAAAACATCTTGGAATAGTCTTTATCTCTGATCTCATTCCCCTCCTACTTCAATAAAACCCTTTTCTCCTTGTCCTTGATTTAAAGAGAATGTTATTTGTGATAATCTGAATTCATATATTCATTCAATTAATCAATCATTAATGATTCAGTAAATGTTTATTGAGTGCTTATTACATACCAAGCACCATTCTAGGCCCTAACAGTTCCATAGTAAGCAAGACAGCATCTCTGACCTCATAAAGCTTAGAAGTTAAGCAACACATTAGGAAAAAAAAAAAGAGAGAGAGAATTTCAGATATCTATAAGTGCTACGAAGAACATCAAATTCGGTGAAAAAGCAATGACTGAGCAGACAGATTAATGTCTAAACCCTGAGTCATGCCAGTGTTTATGGATTGGGAGGAGGAAAAGAACCTAGCAAAAGAGACTGAAACAGGCAGACTAGTGAGTTAGAAGGAAACCAGGAGTGTGTACTCCTCGACACCATGTGAAGAAATATATTCAAATATATTGGATGATCAAGAAGATCACATTTTTGTAAGACAATCGAGGAAAGAACTTTACCCAGACCAAGTGTAATTCTAGTTTCCCCGTCCCTCTGCGTCTAAAGGGCATCAGTCTTCATTCTTTCGATAGACCTTCAGAGCAGCTGATAACAGCATTTCCCACTGTGGAATAGGCAACATTCTGACCTCTTCCTTAACCTCTGCTGTACAGAACAAGCCTCTGACAGGAATTTAGCATTCCCCAGTTCTAGGCCCCAGGTCAGCACCACAGGGAGCAGGTTCTGTGGACCTCACCCTGCACATCTTGTGTCCAAAACTAAAATCTAAAGCACTGTGGGGTCTGGGAGATACCGAAGCCATAAGCACCCAAGCTAAGAGATAACAGGATTTCTTCATTTCAGTCTGCTTTACAGTAAAATATAAAGGGTTAGGAAATTCCAAGACTATTCCCAAAGCTCTCCTCTTATCATCATTAGATTATATATACAGAAATAACAGAAAACTAGGATTTACTCAAAGCCAAACAAAACAAGGAAGTTTAGAGAAGAGACAGCAAGCCCAGATAGCTAACTATCAATAAACATTGTAAGAGAATGACTGACTCCCTTTTGATTAATTAGACAAAAAAGAATGACTTTTCTTGACAACTCACATAAATATTTAGTCACAAAAAATCGTACTTTTCCCCTAGAGTGATCTAAGTTTAAAATATACCTCTTAAGACTATTCTGCCTTGTTTTACTCTACTTAACTACTCTTTTATGCCTCACTCAGAGTAGTCATTTCAAAATCTACCTAACAAATTCTGAAAGGTAGAATCCTGCTTTAGTTATGGTAATGATAGCTGTTGTAAACAAAACCCAAAGCTTTAGAGTTTTAATGCCATAAAATTGCTTTCTCACACATGTAACAGTCCTATGCTCGTGTTCCTGGACAGGGGGTGGCTCCTCTCCATTGGTGATTCAGGGACTCAAGCTTCTTCCATCTTGTGGCTCCATCATCACCTAGGACCACTGACTCGTCTTTATTCAGCCTGCAGACAGGGAAAGAATGGAGAAGCCCCATTCATTTTTTAAAATCCCAGCCTACAAATAATACATTTCACTTCTCACATTCCGTTAAGAAGGACTAGTCATCTGGCTGAAGCCCTGGTGGTGCAGTGGTTAAGAGCTCAGGCTGCTTACCAGAAGGTCAGCAGTTCAAATCCACCAGCTGCTCCTTGGGAACCCTATGGGGCAGCTCTACTCTGTCCTATAGGGTAGCTATGAGTTGGAATCAATTCCACGACAATGGGTTTGGTTTGGTTTTTTTGGTTAGTCATTTGTTCATACCCCAGTATAAGGAAGGTGGGGAATTTAGTCCCTGACTAGGACTACCTCCTCCCAACAACGACTCCAGTCCATTAAAGAGGAGCATGAATTTTGGTGAAAAGCTTACTGTCTCTGCCATTCACCTATTTCACCTGAAGGATGAACTAAGTAAGCGTTGTCGGTGAAAATCACACTGAAGGTCAGTTCAGTCAGTCAGTTGGGCTCATCATCTGAAACTGCAATAATAAATTGAAAACCAATCCAGGTGTACCCCCTCTTTGGTGGACTTGTGTATCTATTTTTTTTATGCCCGGCTATGCGCTTACATTCTCTAGGATCTACTTCATACCATTATAACTGGGATAACATAGAATTGTGGCTTCTCCTTTATTGAAATTGTACCTAATAACTCAGCCACTACAATTGGATGAGTTGAATCCAGAAAAATAAGCATCCTCCTTATGCTAATGACATAGTTTTATAGTCCTAAATGGACACTTAATCGTTTCTGAAAGAAAAAAATCTTGCTTTAACATTACCAAACATTTTGATCAAAAATTCTATAGAAGAATTCTGATCAAAAGGGGGAAAATGCAGAATGAAATTTCAAATTCTCATGGATTCCAGACTTTCTGGAGCCATGGAGGCTAGAGGAACCCCTGAAACTATTGCTCTGAGATAATCTTTAAAACTTAAACTAAAAATATCCACTGAAGTCTTCTTGAAACCAAAAAATAGTTTAGCTTAACTAGTAAAAAAAATGTCTGCCTTGAGCATCATGCTCTTTAAGAACTATGTATATGGGATCAAATTGACAATAGCAACTTGAAAGATTAGGTAGGAAACTTAGGAGGCAGTGAGTTTATGTAATGGGGGAGGAACAACTCCGAAGAGGATGAGAATGGTTGCACGAATGGAAGAATGTAATCACTGTCTCTGAATTATACATGTAGAAATTGTTGAATTAGTGTATGTGTTGTTGTGTATATTCTCAACAACAAGAAGAACAAAATTTTTTTTTTTTAAATCTTGCTTTAGTTATAGTAATGCTAGCTGCAGTAACAAATAAAACCCAAAGGTTAAGATCAACTATTCCAAAATCAAAATCATCATTTCTGGTAAATGTTCAACAATTAATTGGGTTAAGCCTTAACAACCCATATAACAAATCAACTAGTTTAGTTACCTAGAAAACTTGTGGAGACTAGCTTGCCTTAGAGGATTTCCTAGGTAATTACATTACTTATAATTATTTTATAGTTGTTTCATTGAGAATTTTTATGGCCATGGCAGAGTTTGATAACATCTTTTTTAATTGTTTAAAACAGAAACTAACGTCTGTCTCTACCACAGAGAACTTGGGCTTCAATCATCCATTGGTGTGTTAGATGAACTCAGAATTTTCAGAGTAAAAAAAAATCTTGGTCTGGTTCATGGATATTTCCTAATCCTACAACCATAATGCAAAAGGAAGTGACCTTCCATTAGGCTGTGCAAACCTATTTGGCTTCTCAGTTTTCCTAAGTGGACACAACCTTAGGCCATCTCAGTTGACCACTAAATCATATGGGTCTTCACTTTAACTTGCAACAATGATGATGGTAATAAACACCATTGATTATTCATTGTGTGCCAAGCAAATTTCTAAGTGCTTTCTATGTACTATTTCATTTAATCTTCCCCACAACCCTATGAGGTAGTGAATATTTCTATCTCCATTTTATAGATGAGGAAACGGAGGCATAGAGAAGATAAGTAATTGCCTGATGTGTGTGTGAAGATAGCCAGTGTATCTGCTGTGTTCCCAGGACCCACTGTTGTGGAACCTGTGAAATTTATTTTAATGACCATATTTTGCCATTAAGCCTTTGGCCTATGTTGAGAGGCCTTGTAAGATACAACCTTACTAAATTCCTGATTTTCTCATTGCCAGGGTGTGTTTTGTTCATTACAGCATCCAAAAAAAAGAAAAAATCCTTTATGAGAAGCCACAAGAATTTTTCTACTAAAGCAAGAATTGCTGTACTTCTCCTGAGAAATTGTTTTTTGTTTTTAGTATGTGGACACTGTGAATTATTATCATAATTCTCTCTGTGTATGTTTAGGAAACCCCAAACCAAATTCTTGCCCTACCTCTGCATTACACACAGTACTATATGCCAATGTCTTCTATATCCTGCCCTTCTTTTCTTTTTCCCTAGTTTCTTCACTTTACTATGTGTATCTTTGGAAACCACATAAAATTCTTTTTGAATTGAGGTAAAGGGTGACAGGAACCATAGTGATTCAGTGGTAGAATTCTCTCCTTCCATGCAGGAAACCTGGGTTCAATTTCTGGCCAGTGCAACTCATGCACAGCCACCACCCATCTGTGAGTGGAGGCTTAGGTGTTGCTATGATGCTGAACAAGTTTCAGTGCAGCTTCCAGACTAAGACGGACTAGAAAGAAAGGCCTGATACTTCCAAAATATCAGCCAAGGACAACTTTATGGATCACAATAGTCCAGTCTCCAAATGATCACGGAAATGGTACAGGACTGGACATCATTTTGTTCTGTTGTACATGGGGTTGGCATGAGCTGGGGGGCATCTTGATGGCAGCTAACAACAACAACCACAGAGTGTCAGAATGTGCCAGCTCAGGAGTCATACTGAGTTTCCATCCGACCCTACTTCTTAGTGCCCATGTTACTTGGGCAAGTTATCATCTCATGGCTCAGCTAGTTTTCTATTCTAGAAAATAGGGTAAGTACTGTATTGTCCCTATTTTCTAGAACAGAAAACTCATAAGCAAGTAGGCAGAAGTAAAGGAGAAAATGTATGGAAAGCACTGCACACAGCATTTCGTACACTGTCAGTGCTCAGTAAGTGCTGGTGATGATGATGAGGGTGATGATATCAATGATGATGATGATGATGATGATGATGGAAGACAGAAATAAAGAAATACCATAGTCAGCACTAAAGAATGAAACCCAGCTACTGACACCCCACCAGATCTCATGCTGGCCTCCTTCACTTGACACACACAGGTC